AAAATTGATAACCAATATAAATTATTTTTTGACACTTTCTTTCTTGTCTTTTTTTTTTGTAGTGGGTTTGGCAATTTTTTTAACGGTTTTAGCGGTTTTGGTCGCGTTTTTTTTAACAGGTTTAACAGCCGTGGTCGCATTTTTTGTAATGGGTTTACTTGTTTTGGTCGCACTTTTTTTAACGGGTTCGGGTTTAACGGTTTTGATCTCATTTTTTGTAACGGGTTTACTTGTTTTGGTCGCACTTTTTTTAACGGGTTCGGTTTTGATCTCATTTTTTGTAACGGGTTTACTTGCTTTGGTCGTACTTTTTTTAACGGGGTCGAGTTTAACGGTTTTGATCCCATTTTTTGTACTTTTGCCTTTTTTAAGTGTTTTTAAAAGCCTTTTTCTAGGAATTTGATCCAGAACCAAATAATCATCCTTAGTATCTGGTTGTTCTGATTGTAAATACGGATCATGAGTAATATTTATATTTGATAGTGCTTGGTCGTTATTCGTTTCATGCTCGTCTTTTCTTTTTTTATCATTTGTATCGTGAGAAGAAGTCGGCTTATTGTCTTTTGCATCATTCGATTTATCGTCTTTTGCATCATTCAATTTATCGTCTTTCGATTTATCATCTTTTGCATCATTCGATTTATCGTCTTTTGTATCATTCGATTTATCGGGTTTATTGTCTTTTGCATCATTCGATTTATCGGCTTCATCGATGTCCGATTTCTGATCTCCCACATTTGCATTCAAAATATGTTTTTTCTTGTTATTTGATTTTGACTTCTTACTATTCTTAAGATTGACAATTTCATTTTCATATAATTCGAGTATCTTAGCTTTGACTTCTTCTTCACCTGATATACTTTGTATAATTAAAAATTTATTATTATCATCGGATCTTTGATATGATTCAGAGAATTCGGCTGGGATTATTGATCTATTTTCAATAGAATTTGAATTGTCATAATTGTCTGTGTTACCAGTTTTATTTTTGTCTAATTCTAAAGTATTTAATTTCTTGAGAAGATCATGAATTGTCAGACAAATGCCCTCCTTAATTTCTGTATTATGTGATAATGTTTTGCAACTCATCGTTACTTCTTTGCGAAGAACATGATCAATATCAACAGCCGAGAAAAAAGCAATTGACTAAATTTCCAAAAAAAAAAAAATAAAATATGTATTACAGTTTCTTTTAAAACTAATATGAAAGTTGGAATGAAATTCACACTTACAATAGGCAAATCTTTAATTCCTAACATATAACTAAACATTGCCCTTGTCCAAAAATTACTTATTTGGAGTGCTAATGCTGCCCTTTCATAATCTTCTTCCTTCACAAGAAATCTTATTTCATCATGAACCGATAACATGAATCGCGCGTCAATTTTATATTCATTCACTAAATATTGCATAGCTACCAAAAGTAAATGCAAATAGTCTACGCCAGAAGATTGTACAACCCAGTTTACACGCGATGTCATGTATGATTTCTCGACTATATGGTTTCTTAATGCATCAGTTATACCACATTTTAATACTGGAGTTTTTGGATAATCAGAAGTTGCAATGCCTTCCAAGCTGTTGAACATATAACTTT